TCTCTATGAAAAGAAATATAATGTGAGTGATTCTGACAGTTGAAAACATTTAAAATGATGAATGTGTCATTTGAAAATACAAAGTTTACCTGTGCACTGGAACTTCCTCCAGATTGTTCAAGCTTGTAAAACAACAAGAGCAATAAGGTAAGGCAGCAAAAGGCAGTAAATGATCCATTAAAAAGAGATTTGATTTTAAAAGAGAACAGGTAACAACCCACCATTGAGCATTATACCTGTCAGTGATGTAGCTTCACCTTGAAATAGAAGTAATTCAATGTCTAATAGGGAAAATTTGAATTAATTTTATCCAGTGATTTAGAACACTGGAATACTTTTTACCTTTAAACTTATATCCAATGTTTTTATTTACATTTTTTAAGATTAAGTTGCACATTATGTGCCTTAAAAAAATCTTTGAAATAAATAGTGTACTCTAGTTTTCAGCATTTTTTAAATTTTTTTTTATGGTGCTGGGGATTGAGCCCAGGGCCTTGTTCAACTGAGCTATGTCTCTAGCCCAGTTTTCAGCATTTTTAAGTTCAAAGCAAAGAGAGTATGAGAAGGTAAACTTAAATCTTGTATCTCAAAAACAAATTTTGAAAGATCTTTTATTCTTTTTGAAAACTCCTTTGTTATAAAATGTGCAAGAGAGAGGGTTTCATGCTTAGGTAGTACCTTGCATAGTCAGACTACAGTAGACACGGATTGAATTTATAGATCTCATTTATACAAATGTGGAAGGCATGGTTATAGTCAGCATTAGAAGGTCTATAAAGATGGAGTTAATGGTGTTCTAGAATTACTGTATTTCATGTATTCTAAGATGCCATCATTCTAAAATGCATCATTATTTCATATATCACCACCTCAGCTTTTATATCACCACCCAGCTGTTAAGCTGTCATAATGCTTTATTACATCATGTTTGTAAGATACATTTCAATTTCAGAGATGCAAAAATATGAAAAGTATATGTTAGAATAAACAAAATATGCATAATGTAACATTTCCAGGAGTACAATAATCTTAAACAGACGATATAAATGGTTTGTCACTTTGACAGTTAATACTTGTTAGGGCTAAAGATGTAGCTCGGTGGTAGAGTATTTCTCTAGCATGTACTGAAGCCCTGGGTTCATTCTCTAGCACTGCAACAAAACAAAAAATACTTGTCAACTTTGGCAAAAATAATGTAGCCTGGATTAGGCTTTTATCCAGGGCACTATATATGAATATAGCTTTTGATCCAGATCTGGTTTCAAAATTTGAACTTTTACAGAATGTCAGCTATCAAGAATACAAGTAACAATAAATGTTGGCAAAGATGTAGGGGGAAAGGTTCACTTATACATCGCTGGTGGGATTGAAAATTGATGCAACCAATTTGGAAAGCAGTATGGAGATTCCTTAGAACACTTGGAATGGAACTGCCATTTGACCCAGCTATCCTACTCTTCAGGTCCTACGCAAAAGGCTTAAAATCAGCATATTACAGTGATGCAGCCACTCAGTGTTTATAGCAGCTCACTTAACAATAGTTAAACTATGGAATCAACCTAGTTCCCTACAACAGATGAATGGATAAAGGAAATGTGGCATATATACATACACAATGAAATATTATTCAGCCATAAAAAAGAATGAAATTATGGCATTTGTCAGTAAATGGATGAAACTGGAGACTATCATACCAAGTGAAGTAAGCCAATACCCCCAAACCAAAGGCTGAATGTTCCCTGTGATATGTGGATGTTAACCCACAACAAGGAAGGGTAAGGAGGGAAAAAATAAAATTTCATTGGATCAGACAAAGGGAAATGAAGTTGGCAGAAGGAGTATAGGAATTGGAAAGACAGTAAAATGAATGGGACATAACTTTCCCATTCTTATGTTTGAATCTGCAACCAGTATAATTCCACATCATATACAACCACAAGAATGGGATACTAATTAGAATAAGTTATATTCCATGTATGTATAATATGTCATAATACACTCTAATGTATATCTAGAAAGAACAAAAAAAAATTTGGACTTAAAGATTTCTGTATGTTATCCTTTTTGGACTTATCTCTATACTGGACTCTTATAAGTCAAGCATAAGTTTTTACATTTGTAACTTAGGAACTGGTACAGGTAGTCTTAAATATTCCTTTCTATAAAACCAGATCTAAAAGAAGGAAAAGATGGTTGGTATCAGAAAATTTTTATAGATCAGCCTTTTAAGAAAACCTAAGATGGTTTAGGGCAGGAGTATTATAAATGAAGATCAATTCAAAGTGTTTAGACCTGAATCACTGTAGAAACTTGTTCTCTATTGCAAAGTTTGCTGATAGCTTCCTATGATTTGAGTTAGGACTTTTAAGTACTTGAAATATATTTTTACCATCTCCACACTACTCTGAGATTGTTCTTTTAATTTATCTTGTAGCCAGGGAAACCATATGTTAATGGCCCCTGGAGCTGGGATTTGTACTAGGCTACTCATTGAACTGAGGAAGAGTGGGAATCCCTGAGCCCCTGACTTTCCTGGATTCCACCTTCCCTTTTATTGAGATGAAAAGAGATAGGAAATGCTTTCTAGCCCAGAAATACAAAGACTTGAAGACTCCAAATCTGAAATTGAGTCAACAAGTGAGGAGGAGTACTCACAGGAATGGGGAGAGCAATGGCAGTGCTCAAAAGGCCAGCCAAGATGAGAAATTTCATTCTGAAGGTAGAGCCTGGAATTGAAGATTAGGAGATCATTTCCAGTTTCCGTTCCTATTTCCATTGTAAGTAGAGGGTTGAGGTAGAGGTGTTGAAATAGTAGTCAAGCTAAATCCTGCCTCCAGATACAGATTCAGGTTGTGTAAACCCAGAGGAGCATTTAAAAAACTTGGAATGCCTTTCAATAAGACATGCAGTCTTTGACTCCTAATATTGCCTGCCATCTCCTACTCTTCCTTATAACCTACAGCTCAGCCTAAATCTGTTTGGTTGTTCAAATTTGTGGTTTCTATACACAAATATTTAATGTAGCATAATGTTTACTATTGGCAATTTATCATCACTGGCTAAAATGAGAGGACAATATTTATGTAATACACAAATAAATATGCTTGGAGCTTATGCCTCCAGGAGACTTACCAGGCCTTTACATAGTCTGGATGCTGTTGTTGATGAATACAGTTTCTCAGGAAGAAATTATACAGGAAAAAATTCATAAAGTATAGTGGGTTGGTAGAAAATAAGTGCAAGATGAATAAATTTAATAAAGCAACTCAACATAATCTTTACTGACCTGCTGTTCCTGCAAGTAAACATTTAAATGTTTTAAAAATACACTTAATTCAAATTACCTTACTGTGTGAGTTTCAAACCAAATCACTGTACCCTGGAATTTGATTTTGGAAGAAAAAAATTAATCATATTCTGATTAATACTTCTCTCCTGTATGTGAGACAAGTTATAACTACTTATAGATAAATAATTATTCAGCTTTTTATATATCTTTAAAGCTTAATTCTAAGTTATTTTAGTGCTACTTTACCTGAATTTAGGCAACTTATTTYCTTTCCTTTTTTCATATCTTTGTATTTTTCTTTCTCATGGGTTAAAACTTTTGAAGTTCTTTCTTGCTTTGTTAAGTGAATCTTATTAAATTAGCCAACACAAGAATATCTTACATTCTTTTATCTAGTGCAATAGAATCATCCAAATTATATCTCTTTAATTACCTTTGCTTCAAATGGCCCTCGGAGCAACAAATTCAGGAAGCAGTGTGATCTCCTAGAGCCTCTCTACCCATCAAGTGTTTAAGCCATATTACTAATGCCTTTATAGTCATGGGCAATATGAGTCACACAATTCAAAGCTAAACTGAGCAGTTGGTTTCAGATCGGGAATTCCAACTTTAGTATCTCAATTACACAGAGACTTAAAGACTGATTACTAAGAAAATAACTTCATCTCTTTGGTTGGGGTTAGATTAAATCTTTATCAAAACAAACCAATAATTAAAAATGATATCCACTAAGAATATTCAAGTGTTTCTATAATGTGTCATTTAGGTATACATACGGAAGCCTTAATTGCTGGAGAAATTTAAGGTTTGAAATGTTCTATGTTAAATGACATTTGCATTTCAAAATGAAAATTCGTTTCAAATAAAAAAGTTTAGTAAATATTTAGGCAGTGTCCTTAGCATTAAGACTAATTCAATTTAATTATTTGGAAAGGACCTGGTTTAATGTGACTCTGGTTGAAAGCAAGTGACTTATTGAGTGAAGAAAAAAGATAAAAATAAAGTTAACTTAGTGATATCTTTCAAGTCAGATAGAAAAATGTTTTTTAAAAAMCCCTCTTTTAAATATTGTAAGTGGAATGAAGTGGATGACAGGATCTTTTATTGTTGTGTTTCAAACCTTGGAAAACTGTATGGTCTCATTTATATTTTTGTGATTCAGCTTTAACTATAATTGTTACTAAAGAGGAGCACAAATAAAATCACATTTTGTATAACTATCAATTTATGGTAGTAATGTTCACCTCTCACCACACTGACCATCAGGACACTTCATGGCTCTCCACTGGCTTGTTTCATCTTTCATTATCTTTATTTTGAAAAAATGGAATGTAGAAATTTTGCAGATCCTCCTCCCCCATGCACACAAACAACTGTACAAAAGCTACAATTAGTTGGATCAAGATGTGCATAATAATCCAAATTGAATTTGGCTAAATAGCACTTTTCCTGTTGAACTTATATGACAAAGGGTTTTTGTGAGCAAGTACTATTTTTACACACTGATTATTTGTTTTCCATAGGAAATGTCTCACACTTTTCAAGTCACACTAGCTTCTTTTTTTTTCTTCCTCCAATAGTAAGAACTAGGAAGCGTCTTTATAATTTGATTTGAATTGTGAGTCCTGGGTTGATAATTCACTGAGGGATTACTTATATAAATTTGTTTATTTAAATAAATGACTAGAAATAAACTTGAATAGGCATTTGAATTTTTATGGACACTTTATTAGGATATTAAGATATTAACAATACATGTTAAGCACAAATATTCCATTTTCTTGAAATGCACATGATGTTATGGACAGTATGAACACATTATTTTTTTAAGTTTTATAATTAGTAATTATAAGTTGATTCAGAGAGTGAAATCAGTATGAGTTAAGCTCCTATTTATATAAATGGTTTACAGTCTTTTGTATATAGTGACATTACTTCACTTTAAAGTTCTATTTCATAAGTCAATGTTGAATGCTTGGTGTGTATATATTATTATCAAGCAGTTATTCTCATTCATGCAGATATTTTACTAAATATATATCTACCGGTATCATGGCTACATATATTTCAGAAGTGGTTAGAACAGAGGAGAATGCTGGAAAGTTTGACTTCTTCAAGTCTTAATTCAAAACAGGAGGTTTTCATCTATGTCTTCTGTAAAAACAAAAACAAAACAAATATACTTTTAGAAAGGTACCAGAGTAGTAGCATAAACTAGTATGTTAGAGCTGGGAGATTAGACAGGCCATCTAATAAGGTAGCACAGTGGTGGTTCTGAACCCTGGTAGGGCATCAACATCATCCATGAAATTTAAACAATATAAATTCTTTGATCTCATTCCTGGCCTCTGGAATCAGAATTCTCTAGGGGTGGACTGATGGCAGGTGGACCGATGGCAGGTGGACATATAGACAACTCTGCAGATAGTTCTCAATCACTGATAGAGGAAGGGTAGGTTAAGAGGAGGCCCAGCCAAGAAGTGTCAAATATAATAATCTTTAAGGGCAGCTAAATTTTAATAGGAAGAGGCAGAAGTATAGTACCAGTTCAATCAAACTTCAATTGAATAATCTGAAGAACTTATTACCATACCACTAGGAGAAGACATAAGATATCATGGATATATAAGATATAAGATATAAAAGATACACCAGCCTGGCCTACCTGCCTGCACTTTGGTGTGTTTTGTCAATAATTGTTAAACAGATATTTACAGCAGATTAATTTGAACCACACTAAACTATGACCCTATCTGGGGCACCAGGTTATTTTCCTTTCCAATGTAAGTTTTTAGCCCAGAGAGTTGAAAGAATATAAACTTTAACATATTTTCTTTTGAGTACTGACTTTATTATTAAAATGGAGATACTAACTTTATTACCTGTAAATTTATATTTGCACACGCACACATAGTACTCTGTACTCTTTTGGTTGTTCAGATGAAAGATATCTTTTCTTTCTTCCCTTTTCTTCCCCTCCTTCTCTTTCTTTCTGTGTACTAGGTATTGAATCCAGAGCCCCATACATGCTAAGCAAGTTTCTACCACTGAGCTATATACTCCCAGTCCTTTTTGTTTTGATATAGGGTCTCTCACTATGTTGTTCAGGCTGCACTTGAATCTGCCTCAGCTTACCAAGTAGCTGCAATTATAGATATGTACCATTGCACCCTATAAGAGATGTCCTTTCTATTGATCTTAAGGCCAGTCCCTCTACCTGTGCTCAAGATCTCTTCTGATCTGAGGCTTCTCCTAATTTCCTGTTTTCCCTCCTTATATTCAAAACCTTTCCCTCACCTTTCTATTTATTAGCTCCTTCCCCTTGGCATTTAAATATCGTTTATAGGGGCTGGGGATGTGGCTCAAGCGGTAGCGCGCTCCCCTGGCATGCGTGCGGCCGGGTTCGATCCTCAGCACCACATACCAACAAAGGTGTTGTGTCTGCCGAGAACTAAAAAAAAAATAAATATTAAAAAAATTCTCTCTCTCTTAAAAAAATATCGTTTATATATTCAGCCTCTTGAGTGTGGCCTGGCTCTATAGAGACCACCAGTAAAGTGATTGAATAAGAAAGAACGAATGGACTGCTCAAGCCTCTTTTAGTCTAAAAAATGCTTCCTCAACTCTATGTCCTCTTCTAGCTCTTTCCTGCCTCCAAACATTCACTCTTTATTCTATCTCATTTTTCATTCTTTCTCAACATATAGAATCTGGTTTCCAACTCTACCATTTCACCAAAACTGCTCTTACCGCGTGTTATGGTTTTGATATGGAATATCTCTCAAAGACTCATGAGTTGAGAGCTTGGTCCCCAGGGCAGAAATACTCAGAGGTGGGCCTTTTGGGTAATGATTGGACTATGAGGGCTCCTAAATTCATCAGTAGATTAATCTATCCATAGATTTATTGGGAGGTGATGGGGCCTAGGGGTAAGATGTAGGTCAGTGGGGGAGTACCCTGAGGGTATATCTTGTCCCCAGGCCCCGCTATGCCTTCTTCTCTGCTTCTTGACCACCATGAGGTGAGCAGCTCTGATCTGCCAGGTGCTCCTACCACACACCTACAATAGTGGGACCAAGTGACTATGGACTGAAACCTGTGAAACCATGAGCTAACTTATAGAGCTCACTTCTGTAAGTTGTTTTTCTCAGGTATTTTGTCACAGTGGTGAAAAAGAACATGCTCAGATCACCAGTATATCCTATTTCTATGTTCCATGAACATTCTTTATTTTTTTTAGCTTTTTTTTTTTGCTTTATTTTTAGTAGCTCATTTTTCTTCAATATTGTATTTAATTCCATATAAATTACTTTCAGACTATATAATCAATTAGCTGAAGTGAAACAACAAAAGGTAGAGAAAGCAAAACAAGAAGCTTATGCCCAGAACAGAGAAAGGGCAAAAGAATTTCATAAGGTAAACAAGCCCCCTCCCTTCTTATATTTAGGGCATACCACAATAGGAACTGCTGCTTATTTTTTATTTATTCTCTCCACAGAAAACACTAGAGAAACTTCGAGCCAAAAATACAGGCTGACTCTTCTTTAGAATGGTGTTGTTTTTCTTTTAAAAGTGTGTAATTTTAAGTCAATAAATTTTTATTTAAGGAATTTCCATTGTGATTCCTTTGTTGTCCATTCCAAGAATACCCTTTTTAGAAGATCTGATGCTTATCTGTTTGTTTCAAGAGCCCAGATGATTTCACAATTCTCCACCTAAGTTATTCAGGATTTAATTTCTTCAAGTAATTTTACTTTAGGATCCAAATAGGGGAAAACAAACAGCCAGAAGCATTATCAACAAAGCCTTATACTTTGGGATATAGATGGATCTGCTTGGTTCTCAAGTGTTGACACCTATTATCACACTCAGTACTGTAAATGTGGAATATGCCAATATCTAAGATAAAAAGAAAAATTAGGTCTTTCATACTTTTTAATTGTCTTGTAGTTACTTCCCACAGGCCTAACAAACAGTCCTATGAGGAAAGCAAAACCACAGAATTACTCTATGAGGCGTTTCCAACGACGAGTGGCTACAAGAGAAGCCCCATCGGGATAGACCTCAACCCATGAACATTCTTAATCTTTATCCTCCTTGACATTTCAGCAGCACTTGGCACAGTCTCTTCCTCCTCTTCAAGACACCCTCTTAACATGGCACTCTTCTCACGGTCTTCCTTCATTTCAGAAGAGACTTCATTCTCCCTGGTGAATTCCTTCCTCCTCCAATATCCATCATCTAGTGGTGGTGGTCTTTAGCATTCAACTCTGGATCCATTTTCATGTAACTTTATGCATTTTCCTTGGGAGAATTAATTCCCTTCCCTGATATCAATTCTCTGTGTGCTCATAATCCCCAAATATATATTTCCAATCTAAAAATCTGTCTTGAAATGCAGACATATATTTAACTGACAGTGGCACATGGAGTAATTCAAAATTCAGTGTCATTGAAATGAAATTTGTCATTGCCCCCAAATCTGCTTCTGCCCCTGTGTTTTCTCTCTCAGTAGATAGTGGCTCTAGTCATCCTGCCTGACCCAAGCCAGCTCCTATGGCATTATATCTCTCTTGTTCTTAGTCTCTCAACTGTCTGTTCCCTGCTCCTACCTATTTCCTGTCCAATCTTGTCTTCTTATTCTACATGTTGTATATCTTGAGTATGTTTATATTTAAAAATATTTCTTGAATATGGTACTTCTCTATTTCCCCATAGTCACTCCTCTAGTTCAAGTTGCCACAACTCTTACCTGGATTTATCACAACATGCTCTCAACTATTTTCTAGCCTCTCTACAATATAACCAGAGAAATCTTTCTTAAATACAAACTCTGAAATTCACTCCTTGCTTAGTGATACCCCTGGTGCTCTTAAAATAATGTTTTAAAATGACTTAGTAGAATCTTCATGATCTGACTTGTTTACTCTATTAGTTTCACTTGGAGAGTTTTTCTAAACATTAACATGCATAGTTGCATAGATGAAGACTCCTCCACCAGTTACTTGAACCCTATGTTTACAGGTTAAAAAAAAATGAGACTGGGGACAAATGGCATGCCCTATTGAACAAAGCTAGTTAATGACAGAACTGAAATATTTGAACACATTTAGCTAGTTTATTTCACAGGCAATTAAAATTCAGGAATACACTAGCTAAAAGTCTATCTTCTCCCATGGCTTTCCAAGCTCTGAGGGAAGGAAGGGTACACTTACAAAGAGTTTTTTTTTCCTTTCCCTAGCTGTATCCCAAAGCAATAACTTGTTTACTCATTCTGACTGAATATTTAATATTTGTTTTATTAGTTTATTATGTGATAATTCTTTCTCTTTTTCAAAATAACATAATGACAGCCAAACCACACTACACAAACAAGATCATTAGTGGCTTTGCAAGTCACTGGACTTTAAGCACTTCCTGCTCTCCTAGGCAACCCCACAGCATGGAGCCTGGGTGAGCTCACATTCTGAAGAGCCGCCAGAAGCTTGGCAAAAGAACAGTGAAATACAACTGGTTTCCTTAAATAAACAGCATCTGTCCAAATTTGCCTTTTTATCAGGGCTTTAAAATCACACGTCCTCTAAAAGGGCACACATAAATATATCTTATCCAATTAAGTTCTCCCCTCTTGATACTGGTGGGGAGATGCAGCTGTACTTGGGTATGTTTTGTTTTTTTAATAGAGGAGTTATAAAAGACTGTTAAATCCATTTTTAGAAGTAGATTTGAATTTTTGTAAGTACTCATAGAATAAATGTTAGGAAGAAAACTGACATTATCTGTGCGGGTATGAGTCTTATTAACATTAATTTCACATAAGTACTAACAGGGTCCAGCCTTCAGGATAACTGCCATTAATTCCCTACCTCATGTCATTTTCTCCCATGTGATAGCAGGGTTGCCCAGTGTGAACAACAGAACATGTCACAAGTAATGTTATGGGCTTTAGTCGTGGGCTCATATTCTTTTTGGTCACTCATTCTGGGGGCAATCATATCCCATGCTGTAAGTAATACCATGGAGAGGCCCACATGGTGAGGCAGTCAAATCTGCAGATCGCTAAATGAGTGAGCTTAGAAGTAGAGTTGTCAGTTCTATTCAAGTCATCAGATGACTGCCACACTACTGACAGCTTGATTTCATCCCTAGAGAAACTAAGTCAGAACATCCAGGTAAGCTATTCCCAGATTCCTGACCCTTGAAAACTGTGAGAGATTTTACATGGCTAAGTTTGGGGTAATTTGTTATGTAGCATGGATAGCTAATACACAGAACTAAGTGCTTGCATGAATAGACATTTTTCATTATGATTGTGTTAATTTCACAGAATAATATTAAAGGAGAAAAGAACTAATCTTTCTGCCAATCTATTAATCAATAAACAAATCCTCATGCTCCGAGTTCTTTTCAATATCAAGCATTTATACATCAGCATGAAGAATATTTTTAAAGCAATGGTTTACTTCTTTTTGGGAAATTCTGACTTTTGATGAACTTGCTTTTCTTTACTGCTTGATTGCATATTCATCCTACATCTGTGTAATAATCATATGCCTAAAGTCTCTGCTTTAGAGTTTTTGTGTTTAATGTTGATTTACATTCTGTGAGCAGTTTCAATGCTATTTTTTGGATATGCTTCATAACTTGATTATTGAAAACATGCTTACTCATAAAAGTCAACTCTAACTTTGGAAAATAAAAGGAAGTAGATTAAGACATAACCCAGTATAACAAATGTCTTAATTTAAATTCTTCCACTGCAAGAGTAAAGAAAGAACCACCTGATTCCCCCTGCTCCCTGGCCCACCGATCACTGAAGATGCAGGCATGAGCTAGTTTTGGATTAAAGCAATACTATCTGGTTACAATTTGTGATATAAGACCCAATCTTTAATTAATAGTGAATTCTAACATGTCTTCTGACATAACCCTTGTCAGAAGCAGCCTTCCTGTGCAGGTATAAGTTTTAAAGGTTTGCCCTATAGTTAGGTTAAGGAATGAGATAAAATAAGGTATAAAGCCCTCTGAGATTTGGCATGGCTCTCTGGATTCACATAGTTTCTTAGGCTTATCCAGTTGCCGAGAATGCAGCGCATATTCACCCTCGTTCTGAAAAGTAGTGAGAAATGACCTTGCAATGACAGCTTGTGCATGAGACAGTCCTGTCTGGGATATGTCACCTCATTGCCTTTAGGTTTCTATTAGAACCTACAGCAGGACTTCTCTGTTAGGCCTTCAGGGTTTATTTAGGGAAGGGGTCAGCATCCTTCTTTGGCTAATGATGAATTTACCTTCTTTAATTCCAAAGCAGTGGCCCCACTCCTTCAAGGTGATGTGCTTATCCTTGTTGGGGTCACACTCCTCAAAGAATCGGGTTATGCAGTGCTCCATGGGTACCAGAGATGCTCGTAGAGGAGCAAGCTCGGAATGTGTCAAGACTCTGCAGGGAAATAAATGGCAGCCTATTAATTGAGTAACTTGTATATAAAGATTTAAATCTTAGGATCACCGGGGATAGTTTTCTTCCACAAGTTAGCTGCGTGTGCCAAATAAATAGTACACAAATAAAATGCTGAGAGTGAGGGCTGGGATTGTGGCTTAGAGGGAGAGCCCTTGCCTAGCATATGTAAGGCACTGAGTTTGATTCTCAGCACCACATATAAATACATAAAAAATAAAGGTCCATTGACAACTAAAAAATATTTTTAAAAAACCCTGAAAGTGAAATAAACAATATGTGGGTGAGGTGGAGAGTTTGGGGAATGTCAATAACCAAGGTTTCTCTCGACTGGAAACTGTCCTCCATCCACCCTAAATCTAGAGTTTACCTAGAGTCACACTTATAAAATCTGGTTCCAACCCACTGGTCATACTTGATTATTCCAGATGTACTCATTTGAACCAAGTTGGGTCAGATTATCTATAGAATTTAGAATCAAGAATGAAAAAGTTAGAGGAGTTTCTGTGGGAAGGTGGATCTTAGCATGTAAACTTGAGAGCTGTATGTAGCCATATTCTGTTATTTTCAAAGCAATTTTGTGTTTAGACTCCTAACCACCATTATTTGGCATTTCATCATTCTAACATGAAGTGGAGATTTTCATAATTCTATTTCACTTTCCCTTTTGCATAGATACTTGTATATCAGAGAGTGATCTAGTAATGGAAAGATAGAATTTTTACCTGTCTGTAGGATGTTGGTCAAGTTCATTAAACTGCCAATGCACAGGATAAACATACATGTGGTAGTTTTTCTTAAAGTCCCTTAAGAGAAGTTCAATGGGATGGTCCCCAGCCAAGAGTCTCTTTTCATCCAGGTAAATTTTCTTGACCTGGAATTAAAAAGTTGAGAAGATTGTCAGAGCATCAGTCAATAGTAATGGAATTGACACTTGTTCAGCTTTGCTTGAAGAGTAACAATAATAATGTGACAGAGGAAAATACACTCAGGCATCATGTGCATCAAATTAAATGCCTTCTAGTCAATACTCTAGCCTTCCTTACATCTAGATAGAATAACAGCCAATGTAAGAAATTTGGGGTTTTCAAAAGAAAGTATTTTTTGATCTTTTCTTTTAACTAGTAATGTTCTTTACATACCTTAAAACTATGAGAAGGTTTTAATGAAAAGAATTGAACTGACTTGAGCAAAATTTTTGATTACTCAGTGAAAAATCCTGTTCTCTGTGCAATTGGTATATTCAATTCTTCATCCCCTATTCCTGCTCAGTCTGCTTATCTCTGATCTGTTGCTCCTGGCTACCTCCATTGAAAAGTCTATTTGTGACAATGTATTAAAGAGGAAGGACAGAAATTATCCATGAGCAATGCACATAAGACTCAACTTGTGATGTTACCTATTATTTCAATTGGAAGCAAACAGAACTTCCACCTGTTCCCATGCCCACATCTATCAGCTTCCCTCGCTGTTACCAGTGATGAACTTCCTATGTTCCTATTCAGAGCTTCACCCTTCTCATCTGCCTGAAACAACTACTCAAGAACACCCTGTAGAAGTTGGGTACATTTCTATGGTCTTCATTAAATTTTACTTCATTGCTAGATTATTTGTAGAAACTTACAAGCATCCTCTATCATCTCTAACTGGTAGAAAGGACTTCTTGATTTCACTTTCCCCTCCTGTTACCACTTAACTTCTCTTTAACCCTCAAGAGTAATGTGTATACTTGTTACTTCTACATCCTTCCTCTTATTCTCTCTCAAACTCTGTCAGTTCAGTCTTCCCTTGTCTGGATCCACCTTACAGCTGGTGTCAAGGTCAACAATGACCACCACATGCTAAATCAGTGACCTTTCTTTATAACATATTTTAAAGAACCTGACATATCTTATACATATGTTTGCTGATTTGATTATATTTGCACAGGTTTATATTTGCATATATATGTTCATAAACACACTCTCTCTCTCTCTCTCTCTCTCTCTCTCTCTCTCTCTCTCTCTCTCTCTCTCTCTCTCTCTCTCTCTCTCTCTCTCTCTCTCTCTCTCTCTCTCTCTCTCGCTATCTTGCAGGTGGGAGATTTGTTCTGTTCATTGCTGTATCTCCAGTAGTTTCATCAATTCCTGAAATGTAGGTTATTCTCAATAACTATATGGTGAATGAATTTTTTTCCTGGAAATATCTGGAATTACTATTCTTCACTTTTTAATCTTAATATATTGTTATGTTTTAGATCTTTGGCATCCCCCCAAAACTCATGTGTGAGACAATGCAAGAAGGTTTAGAGGTGAAATGATTGGATAATGAGAGCCTTAACTTAATTAGTGCATTAATTCCCTGATAGGGATTAGCTGGGTGGTAACTATAGGCAGATAAGGTGTGGCTGGAGGAAGTGGGTCATTGGTGGTATGCCTTTGGGGTTTTTATATTGTTCCTGGAGAGTGCAGCTCTCTCTCTCTTTCTTGGCTTCCTGTGTCCATGTCCTGAACTACTTTCCTCTGTCACACCTTTATGCCATGATGTGCTGCTTCACCTTGGGCCCAGAGCAATGGAATTGGATATTTATGGACTGTGACCTCTGAAACTGTGAGCCCTAAATAAACTTTCCTTCTCTAAAATTGTTCTTATCAGGTCTTTTGGCCATAGCAGTGAAAAAGCTAACTTAAACATATATCATTGACATTGTGAATAATAGATTTTCCTTATATATCTATATCAGATCTATGAGGGCAAACAAAAGTTCAGATTTAAATACACTTGGGTCTATTCTAATTTGGATCTGCAATGTCCCCAAAGGCCATGTGTTAAAGATTGGTTAGCCCATGGCACTATTGGGAGGTGATGGAAGCTTTAAAAGGTTGGCAATCTTCTTGTCTTATGGGAGAATATTGGGATCCTGGCCCTTCTTTTTTCTTTGTTTCCTAGCCCAACATGAGATAGGCAGCTTGCTCTACCACATGTTCTATACCATGATGTGCAGTCTCACCACAGAACTAAAAAACAATGGGACCAATTAATCTTGGACTGGAATCTCTGAAATGGCAAGGCAAAATAAATCTTTGCTTTTAAAGTTGCATTATCTCAGGTATTTGTTATAGTACAGAAAGCTGACTAACACATGGCCTGGTTATGCAAATACTAAATATATGTTAACTTTGCCCCACCATTGCTGGCTCTAGGTATGAATTAAAGAGCCCTTATTCAAATGACATTGCTCTTTCAGTAGGAATACAGCAATTTGATAGTGTCTCAAACCCTGTGGCATGAATGGTGACGACTACAAGAATGTTAATCCCTGTGGGGTAATCAGATGCAGGGAGGCAGAATGGGCTTCTGCAGCTGTGCAGAGGTAGGTAGCCATCACATCTTTTTTTCCTCAGGCCCTCTAGACAGATCCTTAGGTATAAGACCTGTGAATAACTTACTTTACTTCTCTGCTTCTCATTTAGATATCCAGCATGTTTAGGGTTAGGTTCATAAAGCTGCATGAGGATATTCTTGAGCCAGTCTCTCATCCGTAGAGGAAACTGAGCCACTTCAAAGTCTGTACAAGCAGGAATAGCTGTTTTAAGCAGAAAATACATGACCATTAGTTCTGCCTCTGGAGTCTTCATAACAGGAAGCTTAATAATTTCTGGGGACCCAGAGAGCATCCTCACTGCCCCTTCATACTTCAGAGGTCCTTAATCGTGGTGGCACCACAGATTTGCCTGGTGTGTTTTAAAAAACATATCAAATACCAGACTCCATTTGAAGAAACTCTAATTTGATTGGTCTGGGGTAGAAACTGGACATCAGGAGTTTTAAAAGCTACAAAAGTAATTTTGATGGGCAGCTAGGGCTAAGAATCTGTGCTGTAGAACCAGAGAGTTGGAATTTAGAAAAGGAGGAGACAGGAGCTATTTACTAGAGGATGAGAGGAAAAAGGAGGACTTAGCTTACACTATCATTACAAAGAATGCTAATTCTCAATGGCTTAAAGAGACAAAGGCTTATTTCTCCATTCTGCTACAATTTCAATACAAGTTGGCAGCAAGGTTCTGCTGCTGTCTCCCTGGGGCTACCATCTCAACACAAGACCTCTGGGTTTGTGGTGGCAAAGGGAGCAAAAGTGGAGAACCACACCAGCTCTGAAGTGCTTCTGCCCAGAACGTACATGGGTGATTGTGCTTTATTCCAGTGAACAAAGCAAGTCATATGACCACATCTAACATCAAGGAGTCTGGCAAGTTTAATCCTCTTGGGTGTCTGCAAGGAGGCAAGAACCAGAAACATGGGTAAGCACTGCCAATGTGGAGAATCTTTTATCAGCAAGGGGAGCCAAACACAATTGAGAGTATCCTGGGGAAGGAAGACAACTTAAAACAACAACAACAACAACAACAACAAACAAACAAACAAAAAACAACAACAAAAAAAACTTCTGGAAGAATATGTTGTCATAAAACCTTTTGGTAAAGGCTTAACTTAAATTGGGAAGAGGGCAAATAGTTTGGCAAAATTTCATTTCTCATTGCTATTATTAAGTAGATAACATTATTATAGTGGTTCTGAGGCCTGGCTGCACATTAGAATTGTCTAGGTTACTTGAAAAACAAATGAAAAAGCAAAGCCAGGGTTCCAACCCAGTTCAATTAAGTCAGAATCGCCTATGGTTAAGGTCTGTGAATCCTTATTTTTTCTGTTTCTCCAATTGATTTAAATTTGCAGCTTAAGTTCATAGCCTTTTCTTATTTGCATATATAGGATTTAGGCATGTACAGATTCACCCAAAACCCTCCCAGAAATGGTGGTTGGCAGAAGTGATGAAATCTTACATTTGCAGGCTCCAAAATAATCCAGCTGTAGTTGATGACCCTTTTTGGTTCCCTCCAGTCTGCACTTTGTAGCAAACAGATGACAGGAGCTTGCATAGGTCTGGTTGTCAGTGCCACAAGCCTATGGAAGACAAGCAAGAGAAAAAGTTGATAGATCCTGATGCTTTTTGGATAGTACTCTGCTCCCGAAAGCTCAAAGAGTGTCTGGTAAATGGTGCTGTGCTGTAACTCTCCAGTTTGTCAACAAACTATATAGCCCAAATGCCACTGTTATCTTTTTATGGACCCATTGAAATACTCTGATTTGGCTGGCATTTATTTCTTTTCAATATCACTTCAAATATTAGATTATAAACTGAGCATCTACTTTTAAAAAAAATTTCAGTGCAAACTGTCTTTATTCAAATCCCTGGCCCTTTTTTTTTAAATATTTTTTTTTTTAGTTGTAGATGGACACAATATCTTTATTTCATTTGTTGTTATGTGGTGCGAGGGATCAAACCCAGTGCCTCATGCATGCTAGGCAAGTGCTCTACCACTGAGCCACAACCCCAGCCCCTCCTTGGCCTTTCTGATGTGTCTGAAGGACTACTTTGTTGAGTGCTTACTTGGTCAAGGGGTTTTGCTGGAGGACAAGTCACTGGATCTTGGCAAACGCAGTGGGGTTTTCCCTGTTGGTCTGCTTTACAGATGTGTCCTCTCTTACACTGGAAGTTCATACAAGGATCTAACAGAAAAGTTTGGATAGGAAACATGGACTCAGCAAAATTGAGTATGTAAATGAAAATGTATGATTCGTTTCATTTTTGTTAATAAGGCAGAAAATTTGAAATCCTGAAATTTGAAGATTTCAAAGTGAGAAAACATTACAAACTGCTTTAACTGATGTGCTGATTTCCAGATGGAACCGTCTGGCATCAGACTTTTATATGATTGTTTAGCTTTCTTGCAGCCGTTTGGTTTGGTGATGTAAAAAGAACAAGCMGTTCTTCTTGGCATCCCTGAGATGAACATAATCTGAAATATGTAGTGCAGTGTTTCGTGAAAGTTAGAAGTTAAATAAGCCATAAGAATTTTATTGTTTTGAAATTACAAATGTTTGTGATTAAGGTAGGAATTAGTCCCTTAGTTAAGTATGGAATCTAAATTTAATAGTAAGTTGTGGATTGGAGAATAAATAAGGCAGAATTAATGCTTTCTCAGAAGTAAAAAGAATTCTAGCTGTGTACTATATCTCAACGGGACTTTCAGTTTGTAAACACATTGATCTGTAGTTTATCAAATATCACAAGATAATATCAACAATTTATAGGAACATTTCCTTCAAGAGAAAGGAGAAGGAAATTTCTGATCATGAAGGGAGGGACAAACCCAAGATGGCAGATCCCATCTCTTCCTTGGGATAGTCACAAACAGCTTGCTCAGCACGTACCCACACTGTGCACCTCCACATTGCCTTCAGTTGAAGTGTCATCTTCGTTTGATGAGCTGCCTGCTTTCTTGGCCTTTAAAATAACAAGAGCAGAAAAGTTAAACTTACTTAACTTGTATTCCAACTGTGTTTGCCTTCACAGAGTTGTTTTTTTTTTTTTTTTTTTTTGCAGCCAAATAATGTCAGATCTCAAAAGGGGAAACCATTCACAACTACAGAGGTAGAGAATAATCTTTGGAGACCAAAACCCTTCTCTAGCTTCAACTGAATTCAGTGCTGTATTTGGGGGGAGTATGCAATATGAGTTAGGATCTTCTCTTTGGATTTGGGAAAACGCCAGCAATGTATTATTATCTTGTGATTCTGTAGTTAAGACAGGGTTACATCAGTGATCTCTATGAAGTTGGTAAGGCTTTCCTCACAGGATTCTAAAATGTAAGAAAACACCTATCTTAGAATGGTGGCAGAGTTCTCAGTAATTGAGATTAGTTTTGACTTTGCTCACCAAAAGCTGTGCCTGATGGGTGGCTGCAAAGTTTTGCACAAAAGCTCCAAATGATTAAACAGCCAAATAGCAATATACTCCCCCCATGCTATATTTCTGGATTCTCATTTTGGTATATGTTTGCTTAATAAAGTAGTACCTTAATTTTTACATCTGACTCAACTGACATTGCTGGCTCTYATGTCAGAGGTAGTTTGTTTGCCACTGATGCTTCAGTTGCAACACAAAATGGCACCTGCCTTCAAGACATCAGAACTGTGACCATCAACGTCTCCTATTTTTCAGGTCTGTCAGAACCAATTCCAGCTAGCTCCAGGCATTTTCAACTGCCATCACCTGCATTTCTGGTCCCAGAAACCATGGAAATCTACTTGGTCTACTCAGTTGACTGGATGTGCTTTCTAGCATCCCCCAGCCAAAATAAATGCCCTAATTACTTCCCGAATGGAAAAATTATGAGGAATTTTCTTTAGAGGAATAATGATGCTGCTTTCATTAGCTTACTCTCCTTGCCTGAATTATTTCTCCACTCCTCTGTTGTTCCCTGTGTCTCTCCAATAACTTTAGGGGAAACCTGAATAAAACAGGTGCTCTCAGTCTAATGATGGAGATGGACAGAAAAATAAATAATTGTACAGGCTGAGCATCCTTAATCTGAAAATTTGAAACCCAAAATACTCAAAATCCAAAACTTTTTGATTGCTGACATGATGCTAAAGTGGAAAATTACATACCTAACTTCATGAGCTGGAATGCAGTCAAAATGCAGACATACTAAAAATATTATATAAAATTACTATCAGGCCATGCATATGAAGTGTATATGAAACATAAATTAGTTTGAGACATGGGTTTCATCTCTAGGATTTAAATTATGTATATGCACATATTCTGAAATAATAAAAAGAAATTGGAAACACTTAGGATCTCAATCATTTCAGATAAGGGATGCTCAACTTATAATTTATTTTAATAGTGTACTGATAGAAATACAGGAGATTGTGAAATCACAAAGAAAGGCCATGGCTCTTTATTGATAACTAATGGACAAGAATTATTGTAAATAGTCTCACCCCTTGGTAGTCTCCGTGCTCACTGGTATCTTCATGTTCATTCTCATGTGTTCTTTCTTTTTGCTCCTCATATTTGAGATGGTAGGAAATGGACTGAGCTCTTTCAGCCTCTAGAAAGTCCTGGCTTGGGGTGAAGTCGACATCAGTTGCACTTTGCCTGGGGCCATCATGACTGGCATCATCAGCCCCATGATTTCTGGGCATGATGTTTCTATCATCAGTGGGTTCCATGAGCAAAGCCTCAGAAACAGTCTTTTTATCCATGTCCTCGTGCTTGCCAGTAGCTTCAGGGCCCATTTTTCCTTCTTGGCTCTGCCATTCAGTATCTTGAATGTGCTTATTTATGTTTGATACGTTGTCCTCTTCTGCTTCTGCATTGGAGTTATCCTCTTCTTGTTCTTGGTTATTCTGCTCAAGTTCATCCTGCATTTTGCTCATTTGAGTTGGTTGATTGGACTCTTCCAAAATATCACCAGATTTCTTACTGTCTTCTTCTTCCTTACTGTTAAAATTCTCCTTAGGAAATTCTTTCTCCCATTCTTGGTTATCACTAGGGCTACCAATTTCCCCTGGCTCTTTTCCCTCTTCCTCATCTTCGTTGGGAGTATTGGGATCCTGCTCTTCGTTTCTCTGATCCCTTAGGTTTTGGCTGTGTGTATCATTCTTGTTCAAATGATGATGTGGATAATTTGTGGGTTGCWCTTGGTTTTCCTCTCCCTCTGTGATGTTTTCTTGTTGGTTAGAATCCACAGAATCAGGAGGAGAAAAATCAGTGCTCTCAGGGAGTTTTTTCTCTTGAGGCCCACTTATATCTTCTCTTAGATCCAAGCTACCATCAGTTGGTGAATACTCCAAATTCACACTTAAGTCACCATCGCTATCCTCCTCATCCTTCAGTCCTAGCTCTTGGCTGTAAGCTTTGTCCTGTTCTTCTGACTGTTCCTGGTTTTCCTCTTCTGACTTTAATATTGAAGATTTTTCATCCTTAAAAGAAAAATTTTAATGTTTGTTTTTGAAACAAGCCATCTTATTTACAATTCCTAAGCTAACCTTTAATATTCATCCTTCTTTTTCTTCACACATATCATGTAAATGTATTAATGATGTTCTTCACATTCTATGGGCCACAGATTCAACCTGAACTTGAATTTTGTAAAGTGAAACAATTAAATAGCATGTTAGCCCAAGGAGTAAACTCATTAATTTTCATATCATCTAGTGATTGGAGGAAGTTGATATGATCATCATATTAAAAGAAATTAAACTGAGGACATGAATAATGTAATCTCTTTGACCATGGTTTAATACTGAGTTGTCCTTTGGAGAAATAAACAATTATATTAATATAACACTGCTATTTTTACCTTATGGTTGGAAAGGTTTTCTCTGGATACTGCAGCTTCCTTTTCATTTTCTTCAGCTTCAACCTTTGCACTGGGAATTGTAGTATTGTCTTGTATTATTGATGTTTCAGTTGGTTTGGAATGATCAGATAAAAACCTTGCATTTGTCTGAAAAAATTAAGAGCTTGTTTGTGTCATTTATCTCTAGGTGCCAATTTAAAATTTTTCTGCTGCTCTTTAGTTATCATCATTATTAGTAGCAGTTTTCCTCATTCAGCGCATCAGCTAAATGGTATTTTGTAAAATATTTGAGAATACAAGCAAATGTCCAGAATAATGTTAAGTGAAAACAAAATTCCCACCTGAGAAAAAGTTACGTATAAAGAAACTAGGCAAAAATCAAACAATCAAATAAACAAAAACCTTCAATAATTATTTAATGATTTGATAATCCAATAATGATTACCTTTGATTTTGGGAATTATTTTGTTTTCAAACTTTTATAATGCATTAGTGCTTAATAATTTTGAAAAGTATTGTTTTGTATAAAGTTGAAGTCAATAAAACTGGCCATAAAATATAGTATTGTACATTTCCTTAACATTTAAGGATTCACTGATAATTAATAGAAAAAATTATAAAACTTTTTACTATTTATCAAGTTTTTAACACTGTTGGCCTTAATATCCATTAGGAAGTTTTTAAATAAAAAAAATTAATCTAGAACTAATTCAAGGATTATGTGAAGCAGGGCACTCAGCCTAATAGAGAAAGGCAGCTATGGAACCTTTTCATGACAGAGACAGCTGTGTCTGTTTCTAGAAAGACTCGGGACTAAGATGGAGAGCTAGGCAGTGAGGCATGATGGGAAGTTAAACAACTGGACTTGGATGGTGAGAAGCCTCCCTTCAAGTCTTAACTCTGCCATTTACTTCCTACCTGTGGTTTGAGGAGTTGCTAACCCTACCCTGCAATCTCAAAGTGAAGTGGTCATAAATATCAAGTAAAAGTTGTTTATATAAACTATTTTGCAAATTTTGAGGAGCTACCCAAGTTAAAATTCCTAATTATAACATCATATGGTGGTAACATTATGAACTGTTCAAATATCTGAGGCAGGTATTTGCCATAGATTTTTGTTATAGAGATGCTGTGGATACTTAGCAGCTATATTCAGATGTAAGGATAAAACTCAGACTATTTGGATTGACTCAGTTTTACTCCACGAGCAGGTTCAGTAGTGCTGTGTACTGTAAAACAACCCAGGAGGTATAAATGTATTTTAGATTTGGTTTGTTCTTTTGCTTCTTGTCCTTTTTTCAACTAAGAGGATTAGTAGTCTTCAAAAAAGTTTTGAAAGAATTCATAAAGAAAGGGGAAAAGCCGGACTCAGTGGCACATGCCTGGAATCGCAGCAGCTCAGGAGGCAGGAGGATCACAAGTTCAAAGCCAGCCTCAGCAATGATGAGGCGCTAAGCAACTCAGTGGGACCCTGTCTCTAAAGAAAATACAAAATAGGGCTGGGGGTGTGGCTCAGTACTCAAGTTCCCTTGAGTTCAATCCCTGGCACCCCCCCCCCCACCCTCTGCAAAAAAAAAAAAGAGAAAGAAAGGGCCAGAAAAGTAGCTTTGAGAGTAGTGCTTGCCCAGTGTGCATAAGGCCCTGGGTTCACTCCCCAGCAATTAACAGATTGAAAAAAAAAAAAAAAAAAAACAATTATGAGAGCAAGGAGAAAGAAAGGTGGCTATTTTGACTAGTTGTTAACAAGGGCCTTCATGGAAAACAACAGATGGGGGAGATTTTAGATTTTTTAGTGGATGGCTTTTCTCCCTCAGTGCTTACCTCCTCTTTCATATGACCATACCTTCCCCTAGCAGGAAGAAATGCATAAAAACCATGGCAGGTCATTTTCTTTCAGAAATGTCTGGTAATTAAAAGTCTATTATATTATTAGGCCCATATCTATATTTAACATGCCCTCTGAAAGTGCATTTGGAATATCCCAACCACTCATAGTTCACTTCTTTGGAGAATTCGTGCAGGTAAGAAAAATGATACAAGATTTTTAATAGGTCAATACTATGAAAAAATATTTAGCTTTTTGATATTTGCCTGGGTCTGCATAAAACAAATTACCCTGGAAAAGAAACATCTGGCATGTGTCTTTAGGCAGACATGTCATTCAAACATTTGGTTCAAAGACAGTTTTTAATGCCTATTTACAATGCCACAGTCCTTGCAAAGGCAAAACACATTTTCAGGAGAAAACAATGACTCTCTGGGATCTCCTTTCTTTATTAATTTGTCCCAGTTTTGTAATTTTAAAGTACATTATGTAATTCCAGCTGGAGTAGCTCCCTACTATTTAAGCAGGATTCTTAGTGGTGGTCAGAAATTCTGTTTTCTTTGGACTGCTTGATCTGGGTGGGTGGCATGTAGCTTGTTTTTGCTGACACAGCTATTAACCTGAAGCAGCCACCAGTTATCTGAAAAGCAAGGACAGAACTTTAAACCTAGAGAGGAAGGAAGGGAAGGGACAATAGAGAAATCGCATTGTTCATTGATAAAAAAGAAAAACATGATATAAATTAAAGATGCTATGGATCATTTGCAGAGCATCTAAAATGATCATATAAATGATTGTGTTTTTTGAACTTTTGGGTTGTTTTGAGATTGCTGACCTGGTCTGATTTGTGTATGGCTCCTTGATTGCTTGTGAATGCTGAAGCCAGTATATCTCATCATGACTTAGAGAATGCTCTAGTCCTATCCACTTCCAGCGTACTTTGTTTGGACAGTGCCTCAAAATGAGATAAGAACCCATTTATGATCACCACAGTGCTTCTGTTCCCATTGGTTCCTGTTTTTATTACAAGACTGTCAGGATTTCTCATCTAGCATGTGTTCGATCTTGAAGAAAATGCTGGCGATGTGGATATATATATGAGCTCCAAGTTAAATTCATAGATATCTCATATTAATATGATGAGATCCATGGGGAATTTTTTTTCCTGTCCTTTTGGTGTTTGTCCATATTCTATGGTTAATAAAAGGACTGTCAACACTTTCAGCTGTATTTATTGTATCTTATAAAACCAGATAGACCTGAAAAAATATTTTTGAAAAGCACCTTATCTTGATTTTTAATCATGCATTTACTGTTTGCATAAGAAAGAATATAATTGAAATAAAAACCAGAACTTCAAGCCACTATATAAGAATATTTCCTTTTAAATAGTAGGTTTCTGAATTAAATGTCAGGAGGGAGAGATGTAATGACAGAAGAAAGGAAATTTACCGGAATTGCAGCTGCAGTTCCCAAGATGTATATGAAAAACAGCAGAGTCTTCATGCTTCTGGACCTGTGAACCAAGAAGATAATTTCAGTGATGAGAAAAAGTTTCCTTCCGAAAGATTAAAAGATAATCTTAGCAAACATTGAGTTTGATATTGTCTTTTGTATTTGGAGGAGATTATTGTCTTTGTGGAATAGTATGTCTGAAAAGCCGGATGATTACAGTTTTTTTTTTTTTTTTACCAGTTTTGTCCCTCTGAAAATTAGTTCTTATTTTATTTTATTTTTCCTTTACAATAAAAGAAGCTTCAAACTATCAGGAGAACTGGACTCTGGCTCTGGCACTGTCCCTAACTGGCCAAGAATCTTAGACAGTTTACTTATCCTTTTTTAGACATAGCTTTCTATTGTGATGAACTGTGAAGAGGCAGCCTAGATGATCCTTTGCTCTAATATTTTAGAACTCTAAAATTGAAAATCTATGAATTTCATGAGCTCCTAAATGCTGCTATCTTTTAGCTTTAAATTGTTAAACCTAAAATACATTCTATGATTTTTGTATCAAAAATAAAATATTTTATATATAGACTTTAATTTTCACAGCAAATATGTAAGATCTACTTATATCTTTATTATTGACGATCACTTAAAATATTTTATTCTTTAGTAAATGTTAATTGTAAACAATCACTGAAAAATGAAGTTTTTTTCCCTCTATTCCAAAATTTAGCATTCATCATTCATTCCACAAGTATTTATTAAATTTATGGAAGTTTAGTTACTTATAGGTCAGTATATTATTGTTCTATTTGTAAAAACAATACAAATCTGAAACAATTCAGCTTAGTGTATAGTTTAATAACATTTGGGGCTGGAATATTCTTTGTTGTGGAGATCCATCCTATGCATTGTAGTATGTTTAGCAGCATTCCTGGCCTCAACCCACTAGATGTCAGTGTCAGTCCGCCAGCCCTCCCTAGTTATGACAGCCAAAACTGTCTACAGGCATTGCCAAATATCCTATGGGGAGTGACATTGCCATAACCAAGGAACACTGGTTTATCAGATGGGGGACTAGTGCCCTTGGTGTAGGTCTGTGTTTGAACCCAGGACCAACACTTGCCATCCATGTGATATTTGGCAAGTTACTTAATACCCTGAGTCTCAGTCAGATTCCCCATCTTAAAATGGGGATAACATTTTTGATGGTTAATTTTATATGTCAACTTATTATGTCACTAGATACTCAAATATATAGTTAAACATCATTTCTGGGTATCTTTTAAGGGTTTGTTTGGAAGATACTAGCATTTGAATTATTAGATTGAATAAATCAGATTTCCCTAACCCTTGTGAGTGGATATCTTTTAATCTGTTGAGGGTGTAAATAGAACAAAAAACAGAGGAAGGGAGAATTCTTTTTGCCAATCTGCTTGAGCTGGGACATTGGCCTTCTCATACTCTCAGGCCAAGACTATGCCATCAGTCTTCCAGTTCTAAAGTCTTGGACTTGGACTAGAACTGGGACCTTCAGTTCTTCTCATTCTCTGACTATTAGAGTTAAACTGGAACTATACCATGGGCCTCTCTGGGTTTCCAGAGAGTACAGATATGGGAATTTCTTGGCATCATAATCATGAAAGCCAAATATTCATAATAAATCTCTCTTCCTCAGTTCAATTTTTGCTGGAGAACCCTAATATAATATTTGACTCAGTTTTGTAAAGATTATTAGTGCTATTCATAACAATACCTAGACATGTAGCAATTGCTCAATAAACTTTAATTCTTTCCACTCATCTTCAAGAGAAGTTGTGATTCTTAAATAAACAGCTTCAAGTCCAAGAAAATAATATAAAATTGCTGTAAGGTCAAAAAAAAATTTCCGATGGAACATTTAAGGTCCACTTTGGCCACAAATTTACCAAATTTTCCTTTAACTTCAAAATCCTTTTTTACATTCATCATAAATAACAATGAAATTAGACTAAGAGAATCTTACCACTTTTTTTTTTTTTTTTTACAAATGGGCAGTAAAATAATAATCAAAAGTGTTGTGGGTTAAGGGCTTATTTCTTTTTCTTTTTTGAGTTTGGTTTTTATAGCGATCTAAATGGCTAATTACATTTGGAAAAGGATACCCTTTTAATTTGACCACAAGAGGGTAGGAGTTTTCCCGACATTCCTAAATCTAAATGTAGCTGAATGTGTCAAAAAGATATGTGTCTAGTTGGCCAGAACTTGCATCACTTATTCACTCTYCCATTCATTTTTTGACCGCTTCCTAGACACTATCAAAGTACAAGAATATAGTTTCTGCCTTAAAAGTTACAAAGGCTAATAATACCTGTTTCATTCTACTATCCTTCTTACTCCCATATCCCCTCCCCTCCCTTCACTTCCCTCTACCTAATCTAAAGTATACCACATTTTTTTTTATCTGTTCATCTGTTGAAGGACACCTAGGTTGGTTCTATAGTTTAGCTATTTTGAGTTGAGCTGCTATTAACATTTATGTGGCTGCATCACTTGTAATATGCTGATTTAAAGTCATTTGGGTATAAATTGAGGTGTGGGAAAACTGGGACAGATGGTGGTTTCATTCCAATTTTTCTTAGGAATTTCCACACTACTTTCCATAACGGTTGCACCAATTTGCATTCCCACCAGCAATATATGTGTGTACCTTTCCCCCCATATTTATTGTTGTTTGTATTTTTGATAATTGCCATTCTGACTGGGGTGAGATGAAATCTTAGAGTAGTTCTGATTTTCATTTCTCTAGTTGCTAAATATGTTGAATGTGTACACATATAACTATATAACCTGTGGGATTCTACATCATGTACAACCAGAGGAATAAGAAATTATACTCCATCTATGTATGATGTATCAAAGTGCATTTTACTGTCTTGTATAGCTAATTAGAACAAATAAAAAGAAATTTTAAGAAAAAGAATTACAAAGGAAGGCTGGGCATAATCCCAGTGGATCAGGAAGCTGAAGCAGGAGGTTCCTGAGTTCAAAGCCAGCCTCATTAACTTAGTAAGACCCTAAGCAACTCAGCAAGACCCTGTCTCTAAATAAAATATAAAAAAGGTCTGGGAATGTGGCTCAGTGGTTAATTTCCCCTAGATTCAATACAACCCCCAGCCCACCCATTACAAAATTACAAAGGAGGAAGTCAAATAAATGAATGGTTTTATTATAATGTGATTATATATATAATGGGTGGGCTTCGGGATGTATTGAATCTAGGGGCAATTAACCACTGAGCCACATTCCTAGATATATATATATATATATATATATATATATATATATATATATTGCAAACGACAGAGATTAGCATTTAAAATTAGGTAATTAACAATAGCTAACATTTCTAAGTCCTAAGTACTTAGGCACTATTTTTACAATTACCCACATACTAACAATCTTCCCTACATTCCTATGAGGTGGGCACTCTGGTATAATCATTTCATTAGTAAGGAAACTAAGGCATAGAGGTTAAATAACTTGTCCATGATCCACAGCTGAGAAGTGACAAAGAGTAAATATTTGAGAACTGGCTGTTTGATTTCAGATCTGTCTTCTTAATTATTGTGCTATATTGCCCCTGTATAAGGAAGACTTCTAGAGAAGGTAATCCTTGAACTGGAATTTGAAAACTAATAAATAGTTGTGTCATAGTCTGTTTTAAATTACAATAGAATATCTGAAACCAGATAATTTATAAAGAATACAGATTTATTTGGCTTATGGATGTAGGAACTGAGAAGTCCAAGGGCATAGTACCAGACTGTTGAGGGCCTGAATGAATTTTGAACTATCTCAAGGCAGTGGGATTGCATTTCCGTGAACTCTTGATGAAATTCCACCAATCTGACTGCTCAGATCATGTGGACACCCTGAGCATTGGCTCAGACAACCCTAGGTTCAAACGCAGCAGCCCGGAGTAGAGGAGATGGGGGTAACCTGCTCAGCCTCAGCCAAGTTGCCTTTGCCATCTTCTTCCTGTTTTCCTCAGGAGTTCTGCACACTGAATCCCAGTGGTGTTCCTACCCATTTAAATAAAGTGGGTGGGCTCCATTTTGTCGTTATATCCAGTCTCCATCAGAGCTGGTCCCCATTGGATCCTGCAGTTTCGAGTATTAGCATGTCTTTATTTCTTAAATTTCTTATACCTTTAATATTTCTAAACTGACTCACTGCCCTCTTTTGGGGAAACTGAGTAAATATCACAATGGTCCTGACACCAGACTCTGCTTAGCATCTGATGAGAGTTTTCTTGCTTCATCAAAAAAGGAGGAGGATATCGCATAGCAAGAATGCCAGAGAGCTCACTTTTATAACGAAGTTACTCCTTCAATAACCCATTAATCCATTAATGGACTCATTCATTCATGAGAGCAGAATCTTCAGGACCCAATCATCTCCCAAAGGCCCCAATTCCAAATACCATAACATTTGTGTTTGAAGACAAAGTTTCCAACATGTGAAATTTGGGGACACCAAATTTCAAAGTAGTCAGCTCTATGAAGGTCAAGGTGGAAGCAGCAAGTGTGAAGATTCTGAGGCAAAAATCCTAAAAATTTTTTGGGGAAGTAGAGGAAGATAAAGCTAAAAATCAAGGCAGGTATCCAGCTTGTGAAAGCCCTTGTACATTCGATTAGGAATTTAAAATTCCAACTGAAAAACTATGGGAACCCAATGAATGGCTGTAAATGTGGAGGTGATTTGCATTTGAGAAAGGGCTTTTGGGACAGCTGTGTGGAGGAAAGACCAGTAGAAACGCCTTTAAAAGCCAATTGCAATATCAAAGTGAGATGTGTTCAGAGCTTTGAATTTTTGCTGTAGTTTTAGAAATGGTGAACGAGAGGGTAGGTCCAATCTGTACTGCTTCATGAGAGTCAAATTTCAGGAATTTTGTAAGCCAGGAATTTGTCAATGCCAGCAATAAAAATTAAATTATATACACTTATAAATTAATTATATTAAAACCATGGACATAATAACTCAAAGCACATCATTTTGTAATTATTTTACTACATTTTCTATTATCTA